GATTGGAAAAGGTGATTTTATTTCTTTTTATCATTTGCATTGAAAATTTGGCACATTTAATTCAAGATGAGATTGGAAAAGAAAACTAGAGACCTATCAGGCTCAATAAAAAACCTCTTTCACATTTGTTCTTTGCTGATGATCATGTTATCCTTGCAGAAGCAATGTTTGACCAAGTTGAGGTCATTAATAAATGCTAAGAGAAATTCTGTGTGGCATCAGAGTAAAAAGTTAGCAACAATTGTTCCTATGCATCATTTTTCACTTCAAGAATGCAACAATTGAGCGAGCTGTTGGGTGTCTTTTTCACTTCGAATTTGAGAAAATACCTTGGTGTTCCTATGCATCATAGGTGTGTGACTAGGAACACTTACAATTATGTGGTTAATAGGGTGAAGTCACGGCTAAGTGGATGGAAGGCAAATAATATTTCCTTTATAGGTAGAAGCACCTTAGTTTCCTCCATCTTGTTAGCTATTCCTATATCCTATGCAAACTGCTTTATTCCTTGTGTTTATTCGTGAGGAAGTGGAAAAGAAGTCTTGGGATTTCTTATGTGATTCAACGACTAAAACGAAGAAGATTCATGCTATTTCTTAGGATAAGGTTTATAGGGATAAGAAGAGAGGGGGCCTTGGTATTTGTAATACTCTCACTCCACTAAACACATTTAACAAATAAAACCCATGGTAATCAAAGGATCAACTCTGTAGAGTAATTACCAAAGTTTAATTCAAAAGGAAAGGATCTGAAGTTTTTTAAATGGAAACGAGTTAAAAAAATTAATCAAAACCTTTTCATATCAGAGTAAAAATAAGTTTCAAAAGCATGAGATACCTCAGAAAAGTGAAAGGGGTCAAAAATGGTTGAAAACAAATTATGCACTGAAATACAGAGTAATGCACTGCAACGGACGTACTCTGTGCCATGGTGTGTTGCACAAAATTTCACTGGTTCTGCTGTCATTTGACAGTAGAATCAGGGGAACTTCTGACTCACCTCGATTCTCTGTCCGACGTCCGAATGACGTGATCTGGGTGTGTACAGAAAACTCTTTTCCTGTACTAACTAATGACATGGGTTTTACTTCCAAAACAAATCACACTAGAAAGTTGAACACCTAAACATATTTTAACCACTTTTCAACACTTTTACACAAAATGGGTGTCCAAAACTCTCAACAAATGCTAAAAGCTTTTCTTAACACGTGGACCATGTCCAATGAACCTAGGACTACCAGTACAACACATCATAAATATCAAAATAACATTATAACTAAAATTCACTTCTCAACTCCAATTTATCAAAAACAAAAGGGGAGGCAAATTAGCATTGCATTTAACTCAAATAATTCAAAACATGCTCAAAACTTTATTTCTACATTTGTACTAATATTTTAGCCCTATAAACATATATATATGACAAAATACATAAAGACTAAGGGTCTAAAATATAATTCTAACATTTTCAACAACCAAAATAATGCAAGTGAGATAATATGCATCTTAAAATTAGCAAGCCATATACTATTACACAATTAAAGCTAAACTAGAGGCATACAGTAGGAATATACTAATTCCCTGCCTTTTTAGTCTTCTCCCTCTCAACACCAAAGCTAGAGCCTGAAAAGTATTAAATAAGATGGGTGAATCTAGCCACTCAGTAACTAAGGTTAACCCTATCCTATGCAGTTATATATCAATTATAAAACAAATACATGCACAAGGAGATCAAATTTATAAAACATGTCCTCATATATCACATTTTATCATTTATCACTCTATAACTTTTTTACTCACATAACTAGGCGCATTGTCTCCATATTCTCAGATGTGTGACAAGACCCATACTCTTGCGACTTGCCGCCACTTAGCATGTGTGACATGTCATATATTTACTTAGACAATGATCAACCAACCTTATATCATCCTTATTTTCTCAGACTAAAACCGTGGGCTATAACACTGATTAGAGCTCCGTCCGTGTGACTGAACTACCCAAGCTCACTAATTGTGAGATATGACCCAGTCAAAGATCACAAGACTTACTCTCAGACCACGACTTCTGCCATTCTCAAATCCCTGAGGTGTCTCATACCCTAGGCTATTCTCCTCATTGAACCGGTGTAGATAGCTAAGTTTTAGTCCCTTGACAAATTATGGAACAGTCCCTCGACAAACAGTAGGACAAGGCTATAGCCCCCGTGCACCGGAGGGTAGCCTAATTATTATATAAATTTTCTCTACTCCTAAATCCCTAGGCGAACTCCCGCCATTGATCATGCCATAATCATTACTTAATTGAGTTTACTTTTTCGCTTTCATTTACTCACTATTATCACAACCACGTTGGGTTCACGACCTTGTGCTACCCAAGTGCGTATTCTCACCCTTTTCTCAAAAATTCATTTTTCATTAACAATCAACTACCTCTATACCTCATCACTTACATCTTTCAACAACAATAACAATATTCATAGTTAAAACTCTCTTGACTTTGCATATTGTGCTTTCAAGTCAAAAATAGCATTTTCATACACTCAATGAAATATATATATATATATATATAGTTTTACATAAAAATCAATCACATGCATCTAACATTCACCATTTACACTCAATAATTAATTAACATACAACTATCCAAAGTAAAGTTTTTCCTTGGTTACCTCAAACCTTTGAGAGGTCAAAGGTTTATCCCTCAATCAATTAGCTTTCAAGCTTAAATTTCCACTCCAATAGGTGACCAAGAGCCAAAATTATAATCAACCAACTTGAATTCCATCAACATAACAAACTCAAACATTTAAACCTTTAATTTCTACTTCTAAATTTTCCAACCTCCGCTTTACAAGGGGTGGAGCCTAACCATTGGGTTTAATAGTTACCTTTAGCCCTTAATAACATTAATGAGCTATTAAATCCCCATTAATGGCATCACAAACTTCCAACCACCTACAATAAATGAGATTTTCGGACATTAATGTTGTCCAACAACCAAAGACACCAAAACTCATCATACCTAGGTTTAAATACTCTAATCTATCCCTATTAATTCCATTTGAGTCAACAAATTCAGGCTTATAACCTATATGGACTGAAATCTCACTTTCACTATTAAATCTTAATCATAAACTCATAAATGTGGAACAAAAGGGGAGATTAATGAGTATGATACTTACATTGAGTGTTTGTAGCCTTCAAAATACTCTCAAAATGGTCCCCAAGTAAACCCTAGCAGAGCTTTGGCATGCCTCTCCTTTCTCTCTTTTCTTTCCTTTTCTATCTCATTTCACGTTTGTACAATGCGTCACGGCGGATGTACAAAAAATGACCATACACCACGGCGGATGTACAATGCGTCACGGCGCATGGCACAGAGAGGTCTTCCCTCGCTCAAAGATGGCTGTGCGCCGTGGCGAACAATCTACACGCCGCAGCATATGGCATAGCAACTTCAACTCTTTCTTTTCTTCTCTTTTTGATGCCCAGGTGGTCTACCTCTATGTCAGACCCACAACTAAGACTGAAATAGCATCAAACATGATTTTTTTAGTCCTTTCTTGCCACACACCACTTCAATTTACTTAATTACTCTAATTAGGTTTAATTAATCAGGGAATTAGAACTCGAGATGTTACAGTATCCATAAGATGCATACTCAAAATCAAGCTTCTTAATAAAAGCAGGTCAAGGGTTTATCCATAATAGAGAAGCTCTCTAGACTCGAGTTAAGTGGAGTAAATATAAATGTGGAGCTGATTTACTTCCTATAATTGAGTATAAACGACCAAGCTCATGTTTATAGAGTAGAATTAAAATAACTTGGGATCTTCTCTAGACTGGAATTGAAAGATGTATAATGCAGGATGGGAAAGAATTTGTGAGGTGGAGGCATAAGAAGCATGGTCACTTTTCCATTAAATTTGCTTATTCTTTATTAAAGGATGGAGAGCTTTCCTCCTCTCCTCTCCGGGCTAAAATTTGGAAGCTTTGAATTCCATAATGGAGTAAATCCTTTATGTGGATGGTTTTGCATGATCAAAGCTTTGAATTCCATAACGGAGTAAATCCTTTATGTGGATGGTTTTGCATGACCGACTTTTGACTAACCATATGAGAGTTAAAAAGCATATGAGTAATGATGCCCTCTGTTCGTGGTATAAATCTGTTGATGAAGATATTTTAGATGTTTTACATGATTGCTTGGAGGTTCAAAGCTTGTGGAGAACGTATGTTAAACCTAAATTTGTTAATCAATTTTTTAATTTCCAACTATGGCACTAGTGTCAGCTTAATCTTAAAACTGAAGTTGGGTCTGAGGTTAAATAGAATTGCTAGTTTGCTAGTATCTGTTGGCCTCTATAGAAGAGAAGGAATGCACATGTGTTTCAAAATGTTATGGAATCTAATAATTCAATATTTGGTCATGCATTGGTAATTTTGAAGTAAATGAGTCAATGCCAAAAAGATCTTCGTAATATTAGTTTTTCAGTTTAATAAGGAACTTGGGCGCGAATTCTTCTATTGTGTCTAGTCGTGACAACCTAGGATTGTACATTAATAGAGCTTATTTAGAACAAACTGATGTTGAGGGTTGTAAGGGAGTTCTTAAGGATCATAATCAAGTTATCTTGAACGCCTTTATTGTAACATCCTGATTTTTATATAATAAAGAAATTGTGGAATTTAGGTTTTGAGGAAAAAAATGATAATAATAGGAATTTATATTATTTGAGGTTATTTAGAAATAATATTATGATTAGGTATTTAATTATGAATTTAAAAATTTAAATTTAAAACCACATAAGCAATATTTAGTTAAGATATAATACATAAATAATTTTTTTTATGTGTGTGTTAAAAAAAAAAGAAAAGGTAGAAGGAACAAAAAAAAGAGGGGGGTGGAAGGTTGTTGTTTCTAAGTCCCACATTGGTTAGATGAGGGAAGAGAAGAGGTGCCTTCATGTATAAAAAGGAGGGGGTGTGTGCATTAGGAAGCATGAGAGGCTAAGATGCAATTTAGAGAAAATTGCAACTTTGGGCCCAAAGGTTTGAATAATTAAATTCAAACCTATAGTTTTTTTTTAATATAATTTTGGGACTCACAATCCCATTTTTATATTATTTTTCTCTCTTCCTCTCACGTTGCTCGGCGTTTTCTCGCAAGGGGGGATTATTTTCTTTTTTCTTCAGGTATGTTCTAACTTTCCTGTTTAGATTAGCATTTAAAAATTTATTTAATTACAAAATTAATTTTATAGTTATTTTTTAAATAATATTAGCTTTCTAGTGATATGATTATTTTGTAGGATAGAGTAAATATTTTGATTAGGATTTTTTCTATAGGATAGTAAATCTGATGATATGATGGATTAAAAATATAGGTTAAAACTCTTAGGGATATAATAAATATTATAGAATATTTTCTTGAGGTTGAAACTCATGTTTAAGAATTTTTGAGTTAAAATCTAGATCTATATGGTTGAATTTATGTGGAATCTGAGATGTAGGGATAAACCTATGATTATTAAATATTTATTTAAGTATGAATAGGTATTTTTGAGGTTATAGAAAGGTGATTTGAGGCTTCAGGATAATTTTAAAAATTTAATTTATTTTTGGACGAATTTTTAGAATATAGAAGGATGAAATTGTGATACTAGAAGTGATTTGAGGATAAAAAAAAATAGTTTATTAGGGTACGAGAATTTTAGAAAAGAATTTGGGAAGTTAAATGAGGCATAAATCTTAAATTAGTGTTAATATGGATTATAGATCTAAGACTTTCTAACTATTTAAATTAGAGTTATTTATTTTAATGTAAAATTAATATATAGTATTGTGAAATAATTATGTAGATTATATTGACAAAGATAGTGGTGAAAAAGGAGTTGTGAAGGGGAACTTGTTATTCAAGACACAAGGTAACCATTATTAATGTGTTGTGATGAGTGTGTTTGTGAATGGTTATGTGTTGTTTTGTTGTTTGGAAAAATTATGAATTATTGAAAATAAATACTGTATATACTTGTTTGAAATTATTGCCAAGTGGGTTAAAAATTTATTTTTGTTTATCATGATGAGATATTATTGTTCGGATATATTCCTGTTTGGATATTTGAATGATGCATGACTTGTCAGGGTATTTTAATGTATGGTGTTAATGGGAATTTCTGTTCGGTTAATTATTACCACGTGGTAAGCCCTCATTGGTCCCAATGAGTGGCGTGTCGCTTGGTCCAACTCACCTTTGGCCGGGTGATTTGGCGTCCGAGCATGGCGAAAGGAGGATATAAGGTGCAGTCATGCAAATTAAATACTTGTTTGGTTTGTTTGAAAGTATTGTTCGGTTAAATGTTTTGTGTGCCCACTTAGCAATCGCATGATTAGTTACATCCGCATGCATCATTACATATTAATTTTTGGTTACTGGGACTTTTATGTCTCATTCCCCGTGGTTAATATTTTTACAGGAGCGAGTCCGGCCGAGAAAGCACCAGAGGTGTAACTGTGGTGTATGAGACACCATCTTTTACGTTGCCTCTTATTTTAGATTATACAATGTATCTTGTGCCAATTAGGACATATCTTCTTTGTGAAGCATGTAAACTCTAATCCTTTTTATTAAAAGTATTTATATGACCAAGAGGATTATGTCTGTCGCTCTTGATTTATGATCTGATTTGAATAACATGCTATGAGGATCATGTCTGTCCCTCATGGTTCTAATTGTTTTTTTTGAAATATTTTAAGACCTGTGGTATATTGTCTTGGATGTATCGTGGTAGAAATTTTTCTACCATGATAAGGGTTCAATGAAAAAAATAATAATAAAAAAAAAGGATTTGTTGAATTAATAACTTGTGAAAAATCGGTCTGTAAATTTGAGGGTGTTACATATTGGTATCAGAGCATATAGACGGTTGGCAATATACATTGTTATGGTGCTTCTCATTGTATGGCCATGATATAGCTAGGCTAATTTTATTATTTATATCTTGTATCCTTTAGGAGGGGAGAGAAAATGCCTGTTACTCGTGGTAACTCAGGATTCAACATGAGCACCTACCACCGCCACTGCCAAATGAGGAGCCTGACTTGGCGGAATTGAGAATGCTTGTAAAAACATTAACAGACAAGGTTCAAGGATACGAACAAGAGTTGACGGAGCTAAAGAGGGAAAAGGTAACTGAAAATGGAGATAGGGCTCATGTTGAGAGTCATGTGGGGGAAGGCAGTTCCTCACATCCTGCCACTCCGAGAGATCATGAGTCTAGAAGGAAGGAAATTAGGCAGGAGGAACAGAGAGCCCCACCGACCATTACTGATGTGTGGGAAACTGTTAGGAAGTTTAACCCTCCTATGTTTGATGGTAACCTTAAACCATCCGTGGTAGAGGAATGGGTGAAGAGACTCGAATCCATCTTTCGAGTAGTCACATGCACCAGCAATCAAAAAGTACAAGTAGCATTAGTGCTCCTAGTGAAAGGAGCAAGAGATTGGTGGGAGACAGCAGGGCCCAGGGATGATTCTACACTCACCTGGGAGGAATTCAAGGAAAAATTATTCAGGCATTACTTTCCATCAGAGTTAAGGTCTGAGAAGGAAGCGGAATTCCATGCCTTTAAGCAAGGGAACCTCGATGAGGACACATTCATTGCTAAGTTTCAGGAGTTATCTAGATACTCCACGTACCTGCAGTATAGGGATGATTCCGAATGGAAGGCTAAGCGCTTATTGGAGAAGGCTAGACCAGAATTGAGGGAACAATTAGCTCATCTAGATATCCGAGATTATGATGAAATGTGCATAAAACTACAAGTAGTAGCTCGCAGTAAGAAGGAGGTCGAGAGAGAGAAGAGGGGTTATTCATATAGTAGACCCCCAACCTACCCTCGACCCACCGGAGGCATTATGAAGAAAAACCATCAGGGTTCGAGTAGCTCATGGAACCAAGGAAGGCAGAAGGGTCCATTTCAAAGGGGCCAAGGACAGAGGAGCTATCATAGTAGTTATCACGGGTCACAGAGGAGCCCAACAGTATCTACACCTGCCCCGAGTACAGCGAGCTCTCAACAGTGCACTAAATGCGGGCGTCGTCATTTCGGACAGTGTTGGGTCTGTTACATTTGTGGGAAACCCGGTCACATTGCAAAGTTTTGTGGGGACAACCAGGGCTCAAATATGAAGAACCCTTCCCAACATCCTACTGTCTCTGGCCGTGTGTTTGCTCTTACTCAGGACACCATGAACTCCCCAGATGCCATTAGAGGTAACATCAAAATCCTTCATCATGATATTGTTGCACTATTTGATTCGGGTGCTACACACTCTTTTATTTCTGAAACTTGTGTAAAGAACCTTGATTTGCCTGTGTGTATTTTACCTTTTGATATGAATGTGTCTACTCCTGCGGGAGAATCTGTAAGGACTGCTAAGGCATGCCTTAACCTAGTAGTCGAGTTTAAAAATAGGAAAACAACTATGGACTTAATTATCCTACCACTGAGAGGTATGGATGTAATTGTGGGAATGAATTGGATGGCTGCAAATGGTGCTATCCTAGATTGTAGAGAGAGGAGTGTGTCTTTATCTTCTTTGTCGGTGACCCCAGTCGAGACTCAAGATCATGTTTTCTTGTCGGCGGCGCAAGTTGATAGATGTATGAAGAAGGGTTGCCAGGCCTACATGGTTTTCTTCTCTATCCAAGCTGAGATTGATGAAGGCGTGAAGAATATCCCAATTGTCAAAGAATTTGCGGATGTATTTCCAGACGAAGTCTCCGGTTTACCCCCAAAGCGCGAGGTAGAGTTCTCAATTGAATTGGTACCCGGTACAGGGCCAATTTCTAAGGCTCCTTATCGGATGTCCCCTTCAGAGTTAGCGGAACTGAAAAAGCAAATTGAAGAGCTACTTGAGAAGGGTTTCATCAGACCGAGTGTTTCACCTTGGGGATCTCCAGTCCTTTTTGTAAAGAAGAAGGACGGAAGCCTCCGATTGTGCATTGATTATAGACAATTGAACAAAGTAACCATCAAGAACAAATATCCACTTCCGAGAATCGATGATTTGCTGGATCAGCTTGTGGGATCCGCAGTTTTCTCAAAGATTGACTTAAGGTCAGGGTACCACCAATTGAGAGTGAGAGCAGAGGATATACCTAAGACAGCATTTCGGACGAGATATGGGCATTATGAATTCATGGTGATGCCGTTTGGACTTACGAATGCTCCTGCGGTATTCATGGATTACATGAATAGGATCTTTCGACCCTATTTAGATAAGTTTGTAGTAGTGTTTATTGATGACATTCTTATTTATTCAAAGGATGAGGAGGCTCATGGTGAACATTTAAGAATCGTCTTGCAAGTTTTGAGGGAACATAAGCTTTATGCCAAATTAAGCAAGTGTGAATTTTGGCTCCAAGAAGTAAAGTTTTTGGGCCATGTTGTGTCCAGAGATGGAGTTGCGGTGGATCCTAGCAAGATTGATGCAGTGATGAAGTGGGAACAGCCAAAATCTGTTACAGAGATACGAAGCTTTTTAGGTTTAGCAGGTTATTATCGTCGCTTTATTAAGGGATTTTCGCAAATTGCGATGCCCTTAACTAAGCTGACTAAGAAGGATGCCCCATTTATTTGGACTGACAAATGTGAAGCTGCTTTCCAAGAATTGAAAAAGAGGTTAACCACTACTCCAGTATTGACTATTCCTGACCCTGTGGTGCCGTACACTCTGTACACTGATGCTTCTTTAAAGGGTTTAGGATGTGTTTTGATGCAAAATGACCGAGTGGTTGCCTATTCCTCCAGACAGTTGAGACCACACGAGGAAAATTACCCTACTCATGATTTGGAGTTAGCTGCAGTTGTGTTTGCTCTGAAGATATGGAGACACTACTTGTATGGATCTAAGTTTCAAATCTTCAGTGACCATAAGAGCCTGAAGTATTTATTTGATCAAAAAGAGCTTAATATGAGGCAGCGACGATGGATGGAATTTCTAAAGGATTATGACTTTGAATTACATTACCATCCGGGTAAGGCTAACGTGGTAGCTGATGCCTTAAGTAGAAAGACTATTCATGCTGCACATTTGATGGTTCATGAATATCATTTATGGAACAGTTTTCATGATGTTCCAGTAGATGTGATTGAACATCAAATGGCCGCACTCCAGGTAGCAGACTTTGAGAGCAAATTTGGGAAGATCTCAGAGTCTCACAGCAGAGTGATGACTACTTAAGGAATATAAGGAAGGAGATAGTGGTAGGTAAGGCCCCAAATTTTACCATCTCTGAGGACACAGTGATGAAGTATAAAGGTAGAGTTTGTGTACCTAATGATCCAAGATTGAGGAATATCCTTTTAGAAGAAGCTCATAGGAGCAAATATACAATTCATCCCGGTATAACTAAAATGTACCATGATTTGAAGCGAGGTTGGTGGTGGCCAGGAATGAAGAAAGATGTAACTGAATTTGTTTCTAGATGTTTAACGTGTCAGAAGATAAAGATAGAACATCAGAAGCCAGCTGGAACACTGCAACCGTTAGATATTCCAAAGTGGAAATGGGATGATATTTCTATGGATTTCATCACTGGACTGCCAAGAACACCCTCGAGTAAGGATGCTATTTGGGTGATAGTAGACCGACTCACCAAATCAGCTCACTTTTTGGCGATCAAGTTTACCTCTACATTAGAGAAATTTGCTGAGATATACATTAAGGAGATAGTTAGACTTCATGGTATACCCTCTAGAATTGTGTCAGATCGTGACCCAAGGTTCACTTCAAACTTTTGGGGTGCGCTACAGAAGGCTATGGGTACCAGACTGAGTTTTAGCACCGCATACCACCCCCAAACAGAGAGGACGATCCAGACTTTGGAGGACATGTTGAGAGCTTGTGCCATTGAACTACCAGGTAGTTGGGATAATCATTTGCCATTAGCTGAATTTGCTTATAATAACAGCTATCATTCTAGTATTGGGATGGCGCCTTATGAGGCCTTGTATGGAAGGAAGTGTAGATCGCCTTTATGTTGGACAGAATTAAGTGAGAGGAGTATCATTGGTCCAGAAATTGTAGAGCAGACCACCCAGAAGATTGCAATGATTAAGCAAAAATTGCTAACCGCTCAGAGCCGACAGAAGAGCTATGCTGATAAGAGGAGACGGCCGTTAGAGTTTGAAGTAGGAGATCATGTATTTTTGAAGGTTTCTCCAGTGACAGGCATTGGTAGATCCATTAAGGCAAAGAAATTGACACCTAGATTTATGGGCCCGTATGAGATCTTGGAGCGAATTGGATCTACTGCATATAGAGTTGCATTACCTCCACAGATTGCAGGTATCCATAATGTGTTCCACGTATCACAGTTGAAGAAGTACAACCCGGATCCCTCCCATGTTATTGAACCTGAAGAAGTAGAATTGAGGGAGAATTTGACCTTTAGATCCGAACCGGAGCGAATTGAGGACTTTAAGGACAAACAACTACGCAATAAGACCATCCGACTCGTGAAGGTGATTTGGAAGGGTGGAGCCCTAGGTGATGCTACTTGGGAGACCGAGGAGAGTATGAGGCGAGATTATCCACATTTATTTGCTTAGGTACATAGTTTCTAAGCTTATCTATTAAATTTTGAGGACAAAATTTCTAAAAGGAGGGGAGAATTGTAACATCCTGATTTTTATATAATAAAGAAATTGTGGAATTTAGGTTTTGAGGAAAAAAATGATAATAATAGGAATTTATATTATTTGAGGTTATTTAGAAATAATATTATGATTAGGTATTTAATTATGAATTTAAAAATTTAAATTTAAAACCACATAAGCAATATTTAGTTAAGATATAATACATAAATAATTTTTTTTTATGTGTGTGTTAAAAAAAAAAAAGGTAGAAGGAACAAAAAAAAAGGGGGGTGGAAGGTTGTTGTTTCTAAGTCCCACATTGGTTAGATGAGGGAAGAGAAGAGGTGCCTTCATGTATAAAAAGGAGGGGGTGTGTGCATTAGGAAGCATGAGAGGCTAAGATGCAATTTAGAGAAAATTGCAACTTTGGGCCCAAAGGTTTGAATAATTAAATTCAAACCTATAGTTTTTTTTTATATAATTTTGGGACTCACAATCCCATTTTTATATTATTTTTCTCTCTTCCTCTCACGTTGCTCGGCGTTTTCTCGCAAGGGGGGATTATTTTCTTTTTTCTTCAGGTATGTTCTAACTTTCCTGTTTAGATTAGCATTTAAAAATTTATTTAATTACAAAATTAATTTTATAGTTATTTTTTAAATAATATTAGCTTTCTAGTGATATGATTATTTTGTAGGATAGAGTAAATATTTTGATTAGGATTTTTCTATAGGATAGTTAATCTGATGATATGATGGATTAAAAATATAGGTTAAAACTCTTAGGGATATAATAAATATTATAGAATATTTTCTTGAGGTTGAAACTCATGTTTAAGAATTTTTGAGTTAAAATCTAGATCTATATGGTTGAATTTATGTGGAATCTGAGATGTAGGGATAAACCTATGATTATTAAATATTTATTTAAGTATGAATAGGTATTTTTGAGGTTATAGAAAGGTGATTTGAGGCTTCAGGATAATTTTAAAATTTAATTTATTTTTGGACGAATTTTTAGAATATAGAAGGATGAAATTGTGATACTAGAAGTGATTTGAGGATAAAAAAAAATAGTTTATTAGGGTACGAGAATTTTAGAAAAGAATTTGGGAAGTTAAATGAGGCATAAATCTTAAATTAGTGTTAATATGGATTATAGATCTAAGACTTTCTAACTATTTAAATTAGAGTTATTTATTTTAATGTAAAATTAATATATAGTATTGTGAAATAATTATGTAGATTATATTGACAAAGATAGTGGTGAAAAAGGAGTTGTGAAGGGGAACTTGTTATTCAAGACACAAGGTAACCATTATTAATGTGTTGTGATGAGTGTGTTTGTGAATGGTTATGTGTTGTTTTGTTGTTTGGAAAAATTATGAATTATTGAAAATAAATACTGTATATACTTGTTTGAAATTATTGCCAAGTGGGTTAAAAATTTATTTTTGTTTATCATGATGAGATATTATTGTTCGGATATATTCCTGTTTGGATATTTGAATGATGCATGACTTGTCAGGGTATTTTAATGTATGGTGTTAATGGGAATTTCTGTTCGGTTAATTATTACCACGTGGTAAGCCCTCATTGGACCCAATGAGTGGCGTGTCGCTTGGTCCAACTCACCTTTGGCCGGGTGATTTGGCGTCCGAGCATGGCGAAAGGAGGATATAAGGTGCAGTCATGCAAATTAAATACTTGTTCGGTTTGTTTGAAAGTATTGTTCGGTTAAATGTTTTGTGTGCCCACTTAGCAATCGCATGATTAGTTACATCCGCATGCATCATTACATATTAATTTTTGGTTACTGGGACTTTTAAGTCTCATTCCCCGTGGTTAATATTTTTACAGGAGCGAGTCCGGCCGAGAAAGCACCAGAGGTGTAACTGTGGTGTATGAGACACCATCTTTTACGTTGCCTCTTATTTTAGATTATACAATGTATCTTGTGCCAACTTAGGACATATCTTCTTTGTGAAGCATGTAAACTCTAATCCTTTTTATTAAAAGTATTTATATGACCAAGAGGATTATGTCTGTCCTCTTGATTTATGATCTGATTTGAATAACATGCTATGAGGATCATGTCTGTCCCTCATGGTTCTAATTGTTTTTTTTTGAGATATTTTAAGACCTGTGGTATATTGTCTTGGATGTATCGTGGTAGAAATTTTTCTACCATGATAAGGGTTCAATGAAAAAATAAAATAAAAAAAAAAGGATTTGTTGAATTAATAACTTGTGAAAATCGGTCTGTAAATTTGAGGGTGTTACATTTATGCCTTAACTTTAACTTGTTTTTATTGTTTATGGTTTAAAATTTTAAGACAACTATTGATTCTCCTGTATTTTTTTTATTTATAAGTGTGGTCAAAATTTTTTAATTAAAATTCTCCCATCTAAAATGCGAAGCCGAAACCCTTTTGGTGAAATAAGACAAATAGTCAGTGACGACAATTTGAACCTCCAAGAGGTAGGGTAGATCTTGCCTAGATCTTGCCTGTGCTCAAGAACGCATAAGTTTGTTGTCTATTATTAAATTTTAAATAAAATATAATGACAATATAATAATTTTTAATGGTAATATAATAAAAATACTATTATTTTAATTTTAATTTTAATTTAATAGGATCATATAGTTTTCGCGAATCAGTATAGCTACCACTCAAATCTTAAGTGTGCTCTTAATGAAAAAATGTCTACACAAGATTTAATTTCCTCACAACATTTCACCTAAAAATATCTTCACGACACTCCACCTCGATTATCTTCTCTATTATTTATTTATTTGTTCCGACAACCCATCTAATAGGTTGATTGGCTAAGATATAACCAGTTTATCAAGTAACGATTCAAGCTGGCATGAATCTTTTTATTTTTTGGACCAGCGGCAAGAATTTGGTTTCTCGATAGAAAAAGTGAAGGAAAACATTGTGCAATACTCGTTATAACTTTATAATTATTAATCAACAGTTTTTCCCTTTCAATACTTTTTTTAGGTGTAGGCATACATGGAATATTTTTCATGAACAAAAAAACTTGCTTTTATTCTATTTATTTTTCATTTCATTACATCCCAAAATAAAATCAATACTAATAAATAGCAACACCTAAATTGGATCAACTGATATAATCTCATAAAACAACTGAGCAACGTCGGAAAAATAATTTATTTCATTAAATGTCGTGGAGTCATTCAGAGTAGTCTACATTGACTGCTGATTATGATGATAACCATGAACATCAGGCAGCGGCAAGCCGGCAACAAAGAGAATCATAGAGCAGTAATTCTGATTCGAACAAGAATTTTAAACCTATCTAGCACCTAGTGGATTCTGCCTTTGGAGATTAGATTAGATGACAAGATATTACACATCTATACAGGAAAATCAAGCAAGAGGAAAGATCAGTCAACAATCACATTACAAAGCCGTCTCTCAATTCTCCCACGCTTTTTTCCCTCATCGGGCGACTGCAAAAGGATTAAAATTATCTGTTAGGTTTAGAGTTCCAGTTAATCATATCTTCGCATTGTGTACAGCAAGGCGAGGCAAGCTATAAGATGTCCATGCAAAGGTTTAAATGTTTATTATTTAATCCCATTTGCATGCACCACCTTCAATTCTAGAATATGTTCGCCAAGATTGCCCAAGGGCTGTATGGCATCATGAGTGAGACATTTCAGATTCTCAGCATGGAATTGAGATTCCCTTGTTAGTTTCACTTTCAACTTCCGGAGACTAACGAAAAAGTTTCAGTAAAATAAAATCTACATTACTTTTAGCATTACCTCGCTGCTGTGAAAATAAGGAACCTGGACCCTTTTGGAACCATCAGGCAGGCGTTTACTAGGTGATAGGCTTTCCATAGATGTAAAAGCGCTGCAGACCTGCGAGAATGTTGCAAGAACAAAACTATGATGAGAACGTGTACTGTTAAAATTACTGAAGAATTTCAGTCTCAATTATTTTATTTCGAACAAAATGACTGTAATTTAAAAGAAATATAGATCACAGGAGATTCACCACTGTTTAAGGAAAAACATGACTTCAATCCATTAATAGGAAAATCTGTCCACTAAATCCTAACTCATTAACCAACAAGCATGAAAGAACAAATGAAGATATTCAAATTTCAAAATAATCAAACAAATTTTCAACGCTTACTCAACCCAAAAATAATTTTAACATTGCCAATCATCTTTCTTGTCATTTAGAAATTCAAAAATTTCTTCGTTATCGCTGTTTGATTTTCCTTCCTAAACCCTCGTCCTTTTCGTTAATCTTTAAAACAAAATCTCCATAATTTTATTTTCTTCACTTCACTATGTAGTATGTCACAACGTGGAATTTTGTTTTTCCACCATCTCACTTGTTAGTGATAGTCATGATTCCAAACATCCTCAACTCAGAGGCAGCCTTAATTTTCTCACGCGAGGCATTAACACATGATTTTCTCCTACGAATCTCTCAAGTTTGGACAGAGATACAACACAGGCAGACAGCTCCCTGGGAAAGGGGGAAAAACAGAAATAAAGACCTAATTAAAGCATAATTACAATTACTAAAAAATGGAAATAAAACATTAGACAGCAATAGAAGCAAAAAATACAAGTACCAGATTTTTTTTTCCCAAGGATAAAAGTACTAGTCTACTCTACTAGATGAAACATCACATGTTTCAACGGTCAAAAATCATAGATCAAACCCGGGGCCTTTTGTACGATGAGTATAAATGCTTTGTTCGTGAACTTTTGTGATTTTGCTCATCAATATAAAATATATAACAATAACAATTTCATTTTCATTCTTTTAATTTTTTTTACATGTTTTAGTGCAATATTAGTTAGAAAACAAGAATAATCTTATAAAAAAATCATTTGATTATCTCTTTCATGAGGGGGGAAATTATTGTATTAATTTCTGTGAATGTGACATGTACAATAGAAGGAAAATTCCGAAAAGTTGTTACCTGACTTTGGATGGCCTCGATTAAAATATCCTGACAACCTGATGCATGCACATTTACTAAACTGGGCATTGAAGCAACAGTCTCTCTGAAAAAGTTGTAGCAAATAATCAATCGTATTCCCCCCCTCCAAAAAAAAAACGTAGTACATTTTTAAATTCCCTGAAAAAATGCCTCGTTCCCCTGTTAATTAGCTAAGGAGGGGGGAAAATGAAATGATTACCTGGATGCAAATTTGCACAAGAATTTAGATTCAGATCATCCAGTTGCGGGCAGTTTAAATATAATGCCTGTATATTAGATGGAGAAGTGAAACTGTTAGGATTAGAAGCTGGAGTAAAGATATGCAATGTACTTTAGAGCGGTAGAACTCACGTCTAAGCCAGTACAGCCCCATAAACTTAGTTTCTTCAAACGGCTATGTTTGATGATTAATTTCTGGTTCACAAGTGGCAAATTAGTGCTAGATGTTTTCGGTAATTCACAGTTGTTTTCATCATTCATACGATTTTCAGAACTAGGATCACATATGGTCATGCCACAGTCCATAAGTTCCAGAAGCGGCAATTGGGCTGTAGCAAATTGTATACCACCTGAAACGTAAGACAGGAGATTAGCCAGGTAGAAAAGTATGCAAATAAGCAAGCTCATGAAGCATTTGAATATATAAAAAGGGTGATTACTTGAGGTCACATTTGGGCAGAGAGCAAGGAGGAGTCTTGACAATGTTTCTGGGAATACGTTGCAGATCATTCCAATTCCACTGTCACTCACGCTAGATCTGTAATCAAAGTGAGCGGTTGAACATATTTCTAAAAGGCAAGATAAACAGAGATAAATAAAAGTAGCTCATTTGAACTTCTGATGCTCATATTGAACTTTCTCTCAAGTTTTTTGTTGCTTGAGTTGCAATGAAGCCTTTGATGTCTCTTAACTTGATTGCATTTTCCAGGAACATACCCGCTGAGATCAAGCAGTTCTAGATTTGGATAGCTTGAGGTGATTGCAGCAACAGAAGCATCGGTTATGTCAGATCCAAGCACAAGTGAAAGCATTCGCAGACCCCTGAAAAATGAAACATTTAAACAAGCTTCTCAGTTGAGTGGATTTCGCAAGTTGCAATTGTCTAAAATCTGTGTGCGCGTGCCTGACATTTTAGAACACACGTGAAAGGGAAATACCGGAACAGCATATTGCTTGAAAGGGAATGTGACCTCGATTAACAAAGAATTTATCGAATTTTGAATGCAGATTTCCACCAATAAAATCTTAGGCATTAAGTAGAAGCTAAATTATATGGCACTTAACTTGTTGCAAGATGTTGTTTAACACCAAAGTGATTTGTCATGCTAACGAACAGGCAGACGATGGAGTATCTAAGAAAGCTCAAAGCAACGCGGTTCATAAACTATCATTTGATGAACCTAACTTTATATAGCTTTTGCCAGTAACTGCAGAACAGAACGTCTACTCCGACAGGATTTTGACAAACCTCAACTGGGCAGCCGTAAGAGCAAGCACAGCAGCATGAGAAAGCCGCACCGAAGCTATATGTATATTTTGCAACTTGGGACAACTTCTTCCTAAACCATCAACCATAGTAGTGATATCGGTGCCATCAATTTCTTGGCGGGAAAATTCCAAGGAAATCTCTCTCAACTGGGGACAGTTAAATACCTAGTGCATCAAAGCATCGATTAATAATCATAGAAGAGTCCATTCTGAATGCAATAACTAAAAGAGCGTACTATCAACTTGGGCAATGATCACACCTTACAAAATTAAAGAAGAAAGGGAAAGTAATCACCATCTTAGAATGCGAGAACAGATCCGATAGCCAGACCGTTGTGAGGCTTGACGAACAGAGTACCAAACCCCCAAGATTAGAACAACCTTCAATTTTTAGGCTTTTTAAGCTTCGTTTGTCAGCAACAAATCGACCCAATTCTTCCCTGCATTTTCAAAATTATGAATAAAATAAACCATATGCTCAGATAAACGAAACATTTTACCGAGTTAATCTTGCATAACTGATAACACTAGGATCAT